GGGGGGGGCTTTATATTGTGACCTTGCTTATTAAAATCTAGTTCTCTGTTCCTCAGACCTTGGATCCCAACCAGGCCCAAGATGTTAGCTTTAATTGCTCCATGGAACAACTGCAGGTATCAGCGTGTTGGCAGATGTTTGATTTGTGTCCTGCGATCTGAGACAAGATTTCAATCGGCTCCATTCACTAAACTACCAGGATGAGGAAACTTATTCTCCAATTACAGTCACGTGGCTGAAAAGAAAGAACTTGTATCCTGGTGGAAAGCTTTGTGAATTGTCTGATACTAAAGTAAAACATTAAATGATCAGGTTGTGTTTACAATGCTTTGGAATATCTGGCGTGTCTGAGCTGCTTGGAAACCAGATAATCAGTTTATTTCTGTTCACTTCATTTATATGATCAGAAACAAAATATGTGGTTTAGTTTTTCTTTGTTTCATTATTTAAAAGCAAAATATACAGAAAAATGGGTTAAATGATACAACCTGGCACCCAGAAATATAAATGGTGTCAGTCTATGCTAGGAATCATGCTCGGCTCAGCTGCTATGAGAAATCAATCCACTGTACATATAACTGACACAAGGCATAGCACTAATAGGACAGCCGGGGGGATCACAGACAGTTTAGATAACAAAACTGCATGTTTGATATCCGCTTGTTTCATGAGAAATTGAAACTGAATGCTGTCATATTGGTTGCTTCTTTTAAATTGTCAAATCTGGCTGCAAGTGCTAAAAAGTTTGCTCTGGTTTTTGTTAGTCATTTAAAGGCAAAATTACATCTTATTTATAAAAAGAACATGACTGAAATCGTGTAACAGTCTTCTGACATTGATATTCTGGTAGTAAGCTTACCCCAGTGACGTTCCTAGGTGACCCTAATATCCCACTGTCAGTCTTCTTACATGGTAACAGTAATATTCCAATTGTGATCCTAATATTCCAGTAGTAGTGTTGTAACAACAGTCTTACCCCAGTTACATTAAATGACAGTAATATCCCAGTGTCAGACTTATAATATTATTATATATATAATATTATAACATAAATATTCCAATTGTGATCCTAATATTCCAGTAATAGTGCTGTAACAACAGTCTTACCCCGGTAACATTAAATGACATTAATAGCCCAGTGTCAGCATTGTAACAGTAATATCCCAGTGCCAGACTTGTAACATTATAACAGTAATATCCCAGTGTCAGCCTTGTAACATTATAACAGTAATATCCCAGTGTCAGCCTTGTAACATTATAACAGTAATATCCCAGTGTCAGCCTTGTAACATGATAACAGTAATATTCCAGTAACAGTCTTGTAACTACAGTCTCACCCCAGTAACATTCCTACAGGACAGTAATATCCCAGTGTCAGCCTTGTAACATGATAACAGTGTTATCCCAGTGTCAGCCTTGTAACATGATAACAGTAATATTCCAGTAATAGTGTTGTAACTACAGTCTCACCCCAGTAACATTCCTACAGGACAGTAATATCCAAGTGTCAGTCGTATAACAGTCTTGATAATATCCTGTCAGGCATTATAGAGATAGTTTTACAGATGAATGGGAAGTACAATGATTGTCACCAGATCGGTGTGTTGGTTCTCTGATCTAATCCCTATAATGCTGTAATATTAAATAAAGAAAAGTCCAAAACAAATGGGTATGACGTCATCACGACCCCTTTAGAAGGCGTGTCTCGAACACGGAGCCCCTGTTATCTGTGTTCGAGGCAGGTTGTGGCTCTGGCTGGACTGTGATATTTTCTTCTCTTGTTTCTCCTTTTAGGATTTAGTAGGAAAACTTAAAGATGCAGCTAAAAGCCTGGAGAGGACGTCTCAGATGTGACCCGGATCCTCCCTCAGAAGTCACCTGGAAAACAACATTTTATTTGACTTTTTCTGATGATTGCTTTTGTTTGGTTTTCATTCCCAGTGATCAGACTGGCTTGTTGGGAAAACTGGGATGTACTTTTCTTTTCGTGCCTTCCTTTACATTCCATTCTGAGATTTACTCATGCTGGACAAATACATGACAGCATCTTTATTTTATTTTGTGTTGTTTTGTTGATCATTATTTCATAAATGGATTTCTTTCTGCACAGATGTACGGCGCCCATATACTGTATGCCTTTTGTGTGTACCAATAAATATGATATTTCTATCCGATGATGTGGTTTATTTGACCTTTCTTCTATGCAGTCTTTAGAACACCATTGCTTCCATAAATCCCAGCGGCCTGTAAGGTTAAATCCCAGCGACCTATAAGGTTGATTTTAAGTATTCTGTGGCTTCCTCAGCAGCGAATCTATGAAACTGAGGGGATTGTAAACTCTGAGATCCCTGTTACTTTAATGGTTTTGCAATTTTGTTACTTCCTTTACCCCCATCCCTTGTACCCTGTAATCCCATGGTAGACAGACACCAATCACACAATTTTGCTTATTTTTCGTAAATTAGTATACGTTCCTCATTTGTCCTCAGAGATGTTACAGAAATACTATAATGAAGATGAGAGATTAAATGAAACCTTGGCTTCCGGTTGGACTTTTCTTACCTGTTACTTGCACTGTATTTCATTATATGAACCTCCTGCACTAATATTGTTCATTCATAAAGGAGTGTAGTATTAAAGTGGAGGACATAGCAATCAGACTGTCCATTTAAATGTGTTTTATAATTAATTAAAAATAATCTGATCCGGTGCTGTGAACTTCTCAGCCAGAATAAACTTTTTGATGTTCTACAAAAGCAACATTCTAATACAATGTTGAGCAGATTGTGATACAACAGGAAAGCCGATGGTACATCCCACTGATGTGTATATATAACTAGGTCTATAGTCCACAAACATTCTTATAAGCCATATATTGGCTGTAGGAGCTTGGATAGGTTTTATTTATTTAGATCTTTTATAGACTTAGGGGTGTTGTACTTACACAGTCACTAGCACCTTGTGTGCATTTTGTCTAAAAGATATAAAATTATAAGCAATTCTATACTAAATCGGGGTGTTTGAATTGCTGATCAGGACCCGGTAATACTGAAGGAAAGACCTGATTACATGTTGCCTGTAAAAGCTGCAGCCTGCGATGAACTGGATTGTATATGTGACTGGGCGATCATGAGAGCTTCTCCTGTGCTGGGAAGAAACGTGTTAATGGAAAGCTGCGGGTGAAATACGTCTGTATGTGTGAGCACCTCTACCCCCCTACTGGAAGTACCGGAGAGACATTCCTCACCCGGACCGGGCGGCGCCTACTTCAGTGGGTCACAGAGCACCCAGCCCGGGGGCCACCCAGCAGCGTGAGATCCGAGCACATGTGTGTTCAGTCAGTACACAGATCTGGGATCCATTCAACAATTTCCTGGTTGCTAGTCCATAAATCCTGCGTGCTGTCAGGAGATCTGAGCAGCGCTGCCACCAACTACCACCGTGCTTCCATGACACACACACACCAGGAGCTCCTTCACTATATATACATTCACTCCAATGCACTCAGCAGCTTGCACAGGATTTAAGGAAGACCGACGAGGATTGCTAGCATGTAAAGGAACAGATGATTGACAAGTCCAATGTGCTGCAATGGGGACAGAACGAATCCCTGAGCTCTATCATTATCCACTAATTACCCTTAATGCCATTAACCGATTTATCCCCCGACACTAATAAGAGTACCTGTCTACTGCAACCACGAGGATATATATAGGACACATTCGCTGAAGCTGCAACGCAGACCAGCAGTTGTCTGTACATATGATATGGGTGTAAGGTTTGAATGTTGCATCTGTACATATGATATGGGTGTAAGGTTTGAATGTTGCATCTGTACATATGATATGGGTGTAAGGTTTGAATGTTGCATCTGTACATATGACATGGGTGTAAGGTTTGAATGTTGCATCTGTACATATGGCATGGGTGTAAGGTTTGAATGTTGCATCTGTACATATGATATGGGTGTAAGGTTTGAATGTTGCATCTGTACATATGACATGGGTGTAAGGTTTGAATGTTGCCTCTGTACATATGGCATGGGTGTAAGGTTTGAATGGTGCATCTGTACATATGATATGGGTGTAAGGTTTGAGTGTTGCATCTGTACATATGACATGGGTGTAAGGTTTGTATGTTGCATGTCTCTAGTCTGCTGCAATCGTCCTCGAGTAGATAACAGATCTATGGTACATATCTCGGTGATATGATCCATGGGAGACCAATGTTGGTGATTCACAAGGTGATATGTACAATATGTAAGTCCTGCTAAAGACAGCAATACATATCTATGGTTCCTAAAGCCTGTTCACTTTGCACACTGTGTATGTTATGAATATAGGGCGCCGATATGTTCATTTTAATCGATCATGCACCAATAAAAAATGATTTTTTTTTTTTATTTTCTCTCACACTTGATGGGGCGTTTGAAGTGAAAACAGCGTTGCCTTATTTACTAAAGTCTGCGAACATACAACTTTG